TAATATGTGTTAATTTTTGTGCACTGCTAAGACATTCAAATACTACTCTACTGTCATTAACCCGAAAATAATAATAATTTCAAATTATTGTTATTTTAAACTTATTTTTATACTCTCATTTGATCGATTCTTCTGCCTTAGCATATTATGTAGAGTTATTGAATTATAATATTGATGCATGCTTGTATTTTTAGAATCAAAGGGGCTCATCTCCTCCATAATCAAGACATGAAATATAAAATAATTGAGTGTTATAAATTATGTCTTAGGTGCTTAATCCATAATTAATTAATTATTTATTTTCTCTAGCCACGTGCATTATTATTGCCCCTAATCTAACCGCACTCATCTCCTGTAAAGCTAGGGCTTTCTGTATTTCTAATATCCATTAAAATTTTAAATAGTGAATGATTAAAGATTATGTTTCAAAGTATTCACATTAACATAAATTATTTGGTACCTGCGGTCTATCATTTATGTTTTAATTCGAGGAATAGGCTGAAGTTGAAAGTGTACAACCAAAAGCAACTAATTGGGCCCTGCAAAAAAGAAAAATTTACGTACTTCAAGGGGTACGCATCTCTGCGTACATAATAGTGTACACGAGAGTTACATGGGAGTTACAAGCGTGTACACGAGAGTTACATAGGAGTTACAAGCATGTATAATTGTTACAACAAGGTTACACGGGATTTACACATGAGGTTACACGGAAGTTACACGGGAGGTACAACATGTTATAACCCCCTTGTAATTTCTAACCAACAATGTTTGAAATTTGACTGGCAAAAGTACGAGCATACCCTCTGAAAACCAACAATGTTTGAAATTTGACTGGCAAAAGTACCAGCGTATCCTCGGGAAAAAATTTGCGTACGTCAGGGGGTATGCATCTCTGCGCCGCACTCATCTCCTGTAAAGCTAGGGCTTTCTGTATTTCTAATATCCATTAAAATTTTAAATAGTGAATGATTAAAGATTATGTTTCAAAGTATTCACATTAACATAAATTATTTGGTACCTGCGGTGAAGAATAATGACTTCAGCATTTTAACAAAAAAATTTTAAGAACCAACAATGTTTGAAATTTGACTGGCAAAAGTACGAGCATACCCTCTGAATTACAACCCAGGAATAAGGCGTAGAACATGAGATAGAGAGAGAGAGAGTGTGTGTGTGTGTGTACAATAATGCACAGTACAATGAGGGAATTGAGTTTGATTGATTGATTAGCCTTTAGTGTAGAAATGATCCTCCTACTGATCTTAGATCGTTCGGACTTCACTCAGTCAGCTTGAGTTAAACGGTCGGTTGCTTTGGTCCAGCAGTCAACTATCGACCCGTATAAGACTGAGCTCATGTCGCTGAAATGAAACTATGTTGTCGGGCATATGATGAATCAATGTAATCCGACTGATAGCTCTCCCCATGACGAAAGGTCATTTAAAGTGTTCGCGGACTACATCGTGGTGAGAACCTTTGACCTAATAAAGCGTCTCGCAAGCTCTTATGAGGCGTTTAGCAAAGTTAGAGCGAGAGTGGAGCTAATTCATTTAGCTAACTCGGGTCTCGACTTAAGGAATTTGTGCTTGGTCAGTCAAGTCCTTTTCCCTTCCGGTGATGGGAACTTTGGTCTTCATTCTCGGGGTCATCCTTGACCGTATTTTCCTGTCCCTTAATCTGTTACATCTTATTGAGACACGTGCTGATGCATTTATGTTGTACATTATTTAGTTTAATTTGGGGCATTTACATACATACCACCCAATTGT